CTTTGGAAGCAGTTTATGTTGACAGGGATTTCTGTGCCTGGAAACCCTCCTGTCTGCTCCAGGACTTAACAAAACTTAAAGATGGGCATAGGGTTTGGAGAGCAAATTCCCCCTATTGTTCCCACAGGTTGGCAGTGTTTTATTTAACAATGGACTCTCACAACACTGTTAGTTTTGTGCACAACCAGTCAACTAATAATAATAATGATCCTTACGTTCGATCATCGAGACGTCTCAAAGCATTTCACAGGACACACTGCAAAGTGAAATGACTGTATATTCTGTGGGCAAAATGCCGCTGCCAGTGAGTTGTGATGTTTTTTAAAAAGCTATAGTATCATACAGTATATATCACAGGCATTTGCACATCCCATCTAGTAAAAGGGTCAGACAAACAAAGGTATTTTTAATGTAAACATCTTATCTTTGTCTTGACACTTGTACTGTTATTTCCAGTAACAGTTTGAGGTATTCTGAAATCTGATCAATTTGGGCCATTAAACTAGATATTGTCAGCATATGCGATCATTCACTTCATAGCTGTTTGTGGGACAATGCTGTGTGCAAATTGATCCTGTGTTTTCCCACAAAGTGCACAGTCACTCCACTATACACTGAGGTGCTGCGAAATGCCCTCTTGATATGAAAAGCACTGTACCAAATGTAAGTATTATTATTGCCACTCTCTGCCAGGATCCTGAAGGATACTTCTGAAATACAGCCGTTTTGGGTTACGCTTGCACCAAATTTTTGAGGATGACGATGAAATGAAAAGGCGCCTTGGAACGTCCTCCCATCGTGAAAGGGGCTAGACAAATGTAATTTTGTAAATCAATTATCAATTCCTCTCACCCCCTTCATCCACCTAAAACAGATTCCCATGGTAATTTTTTTTTACCACCATTTCCTCCCCCCCACCCCAAAAAAAAATGTTGACTTATTTTATCCTTATTGTGATAGTGGAGTTCCCCTAGAAGTTTTTTTTTCTTTTTTGGGCCAGCCCGGTGTCTGACACATGCTCCTCCCATACCTTGTCCAAATAGCTTTTCTTCATGTGTGAACCTAGATAGTGAGATTAGGCAGGCTTTTTCATCCATGGAGGGAAATGTGGAAAACAAAACTAATTCTGTCCAGGCCTCCACCAGAGGTTATTGGATAGTAATCAAGATGACAATCGTAGCTGTTCGTTCCCCTTCCCTAAATTCACTAATTCTGGTCACTGAGCAGAATTATAACCCTCACCAGATGGCCTTGCTGTCACCAGCTGTCTCAGTGAGGATTGGGATCGAACCTGACACTTTCCTGGTTTAGAGACCCCTGGACTTCATCCAGCACAGTCTCTCTACCATAAGTAATGGGAGGTATGTACTGGATGTGAAGCAGAAGGCTGACCTGTCAGATAGTCCTCCAGTAAAGCACAGTTTACACAAAGAGGAAGATTCAGCACCCAACACACCAATAATTGGGTTGAAAAAGTGCTGCTGATGAAAATGGTACCATTACTGGTGTCTCGCTGCCAGGAATAGAACTTAGAAACTTAGAAATCTGCAGCACTGGAAGAGGCCATTAGGCCCATTGAGTCTATACTGACTCTTCCCACTACCCTCTAAGGCTTCAACATCTTTCATGAAGTGAGATGCCCAAAATTGGGCCCAAACTTCCAGTTTGGCCTAACAAGTGGTTTGTAGTTGTAGCCTAACCACTTCGCAATGTAAACTGCATTTTCTGCAGGTCCAAATACTTATGTATATTACATAGATTTGTTAGATCTCGCCTCCAGTGAGATTTTGGGGCCGAGCTGAAGCCTCACAAGTTGGCGTGATGTACGGGGGAATGGGATGCCTGGTTGCTTGTGGTGCTTTTATCTTAACTAAGATATCCAAACTCAGACGTTTTATCAAATGGCTTGAAACAGAATAATTTGTCAAAAACGACTAGAGGTATCTTCCAAAGACACAGTTAAAAAAGAAAACGCTGGTAGAGGTGGAGAGGGTGACACTGGTGGATTGGGGATCTTTTTAATGTGTTTTCCTAATCTTCTCCCCTTGGCATCCCACTTTGTACTGCTGGTTCCCAGCCTCCTGGTGCTTGGGTGAAGTTCAATAAGTCCTGTGTGAGACACTCAACTGTAGAGGGTGTCAACGATAAGCCAGACCTCTCCCCACCCGGCTGCCCCACCCACACATAAACAGCTAGTAGAAGGGGCTGTAGCAGGACTAGTAAAAGTGGTTGATTTGAACCTACCTAATCATGGGAAGGAATTTAACTCCCCGTGCAACTCCAGTTTAGATCAGCAAATTGAAGTTGCACCCATCAGGGCTGCCCCTTGGTTGAAGGATTGTAAGTCAGTATACCCATGTGACTGTGCTCAGATCCTGACCTCTGACTGTCCAGCGCCTTGGGACGTCCTCCTGACTTGAAAGGCGCTCTATAAATGTAATTTTGTTGTTGTTGACTATAGCTTTTTTTGCCTTAGAAGCCCTGAGTATGATTTTTGCTTCTGAAAATTGTTTTACTGGAGGGACTTTCCAAAAGGTCAACCTTCTGTTCCAAAATGTTGCTCTCCAATACTGTGCTGGAGAGATTGCTCAGGGTAAAGTGAGTGTTTCCACGGAGCTTGGCATAGTAGAGTGCACCAAGGAGTGCAATTAACAGAACAACAAAATGAGCATTATGTGAGAAAAAAGGCAAAATTAAATTTTGTTTATCAGCAAGAGCTGAGTGTGATGATGTTCACGAGCCTTGTAAAGCAGATTCATTTGTCTGTAAGTATTTATATGGTTTTGTGTGGGCAGACCTGTTAGCCCTTGAAAGAATAGTGTATCTGTTAACAAGTAGATATCGGAACACAAGTAGCTCATTTTTAAAGTGAGTGTGATCTCAGAATTTTTTTAACGAAGTGCGTATTTGCTGTACATGGGGAAATTTAGTATGGGTTACGGAGGTGAAGTGGGCAATGCATCGCCTCAAGCTTTGCAGTCATTTGTTAACCGCTGTATCCTCGATTTGTCCATAGAAGCAGCAATAAAGTGAAATGGGGAGGGAGGAGGTATTGTGTGTGGTCATGGATAGCCTTTTAGAGAGACTGCCTTCTGATGGCTGGGATGTGTCTTATTAATACCCGATTGGATTTTGGTTGGTGATCCTCCCCAATCTCCCAACGTGGAGAATCATATCAGGAGCTGGGAGTAACCATCGTTTAGCTTATAGCACAGCCACCAAAATCAGGGCTTCAATGTAGAGTAAATGGCACAGCAGAGTCTCCTATGCCCATACCCAAATAGGGGATTGAGGCAGTTCAGGATTTGTCTTCAGCTGGTGTAGGAAACAAAACAAAAGGCTGAATTAGGTTAATTGAAAATGAGCGGTGGCATTGTTTATTGAACACGAACCCAGCCACGGACAGCAATGCACACATTAGAGAGATACCCTCGAAGAAGCAGAGTGAGTCACACTCTGAGTGAGAACTAACAGGATTGCCATCTCTCACTCTTTAGGAGTGACAATTCTCTACATTTGTTTGAAAACTCAACCTATTTTTCTGCACATCTTGTCTGTTTAAAATAAACGCACCCCTCTGTGTTTGAATGAGCTTTGCAAGTTGTGGCTGTGCCACTCTTGCTGACGATGTTTGTCACTCCTAACATTCCCCAATGTTGACAGCGTTGCACCCACTCTGACAGAGACATAAAGACAAAGAGAGAGCAATACAATGTGTAGGCAATGAGAGAAAGCGACAAGAGGCACTCTGAAACAACAGGACCCGCGGTTAATTGGCTTGCTTGTTTTTGAGACTGTTATTCATTTTGTACTCTAGATTTTTTCAATTGCCAATACCTTTAGGATTATGTGTATCCGTTGAGGGACTGGGTTAAGCAGCTTTTTCCAGGCCATTCTTGGCCAGCTACACAGAGATGTGTAAAACGTAACTCTACAGAAGACTCTTCATCAAACCTCATCGCATTATGAAATGTTAGCCTCAGGTATCAAGACTTGTCACCCATTTAATCTGCATTCTGCATGGTGCATTTAACTTTGGCTCACTTATGGGTAAAAATTCTGTTCAGCTATGCACAGTATTCCTGAAGATAAGGGGAAATCCCATTAAAGGCAGGCATTGCCAGAAGCAATGTACTTAACCCTAATCCGAGATCTTAACCCATGCTGATTCATTTTTCCCAATGAATCAGTCGAAACTCTGACTGTCCAGCGCCTTGGGATGTCCTCCTGATGTGAAAGGCTCTATACAAATGTAATTGTGTTGTTGTTATTGTCTTGATCTCATAATTGAGGCTGTCATTTCAGTGCAATGCTGGGAGTGCTGCAATGTTGGAGGTCCCGTCCTTCTGATAAGACGTTAAACTGAGCTTCCTTCTACCTTCTCTGATGGTTTGGGATCCCATGTTACTATTTTGAAGAAGAGCAGGAGTTTTCCCGGTCCTGGCTAATATTCCTCCTTCATCCAAACTCACCAAAGGCAATTCATTGATTATTCTTGGTTGTTAGTTGATTGGCAGATCACTTACTATTGTTTTAATAATCCAAAAACAAACAAATAAATGATAATTTGATCACTCATTCCCCGACTATGTGGGATGGTGCTCTGCGCAATTGGAGGGCCACGTGTCGCCCACAAAATATACAGTCAATTCACTTTACAGTGTATCCCATGAAGTTCTTTATACGGTTCAATGACGTGATAAGGTGCTATATTTACATTTATATCATGTTGTTTGTAGGAATTTACTCATGCAGATTAGCTGCTCTATTTGTCCACAAATACCACATTTTGGAGTGACTTCTTTGAGATCTTTTAATATGATAAGGTGCTAAATCATCTACTATATATTTTTTATTATTATTTACCCACTAAGACGTCAAGAGAACTTCGTTTTCATTGCTATTTTAAACTGCTGGAGAGACTTCATCATCTATTTAATGTTGAATTATATTTTATCATGTATTTAAACAAATTGCTAACCAACATTTTTTTTATTCAGCCCCTTAGCAAGTATCCGATGCTGACCAATGACATCTCTTTTTGGATTCCGCCCGAGGGATACGAAGAAAATGATTTCTACGATTTGGTGAGAAATATCGCTGGTGACCTGGTGGAGAAGGTCAACCTCATTGACAAGTTCGTACATGCCAAGTAGGTACCACAGTCACACTGCACATGTCCTCAAGGCCCACACTGTCATTCTGAGTTGAAGACACATTTAAGCTAGTGAGGAATTTTAGAAAACGTTCTTAAATTTAATCTTGATTCAGGACCTGATTTCCCGTAGTTCATTTTCAGAAATGCAGGATAATGGCTTCCAAATGAAAACTGATTTCCCAAATTTCACATGTTGTTAATTGTTCAAGATTAACAACAATTTTGTATGCCTAAGAAAATGAGAAATTTGGCACCCTGACCATGCAGACAGTAAAAGGGGGTGAGAGGGGAAAGAAGATGCAGATATCTAAACATAGTGATCTTTTTATTATTAGCATTATAATCACCCGTGCCACGTACATATTAAAGGGTGTGACCTTTGGTTAAGGAATGCTTGCACTCTTCAACATTAGCCAGTTGTTTTATTCCACATTTGGTCAGGCTGCTGTACGTTTGCACCATTTGTTTTCATTTGTGAGTGAAATATTTGTGGAGTCCTATAGCGTATTACTTAGAGCACTCGCTTGCAAGTGAGAGGACCTGGATTCAATTCCCGGGGCAGGCAAAACCTTAGGCAAGTTTCCTTACTCCACACACCTCTATTTACCTAGCAGTAAGTAGGAACCTGGTTATTTGTCGATTAGCGGATTGCTTTTCCGGCGGTAGTAATTCCTTGTGTAAAAAAAATATAAAAATTGGGTTACTCAATCCACGACTGTTTGTGGGACACTACTGTGTACAATTGGCTGCTGCATTTCGCCCACAAATAGTCGATCCACTTTACAATATATTCAGTCAATTCATTTTACAGTATATTCTGTGGAGCACTTTGAGACAACTCACAGACATGACAAGGCCTATATCAAATGCAAGGATTACTATTGTTTTATTGAAATACTCTGTCTTATCAGTGCATTGATTAAAAATAATACATGCATATGAAGTAGGACCTTTCACGTCAGGTGGACGTCTTAAAGCGTTTTGCAGGATTTACTCTGAAGTGTAATGACTGTATTTTGTAGGCAAATGCAATAGCCAATTTGCAAATAGCAATTTCCTACAAGTAGCCATGAAATAAGCATCTGTAAGATTTGTAAGCTGATTAGTCAGAGATTATTAAATAATAAAGGAATGACAAATATTAGATTTTATAATAGAATCTACAATTTGCTAATATATTATCGATTATTTTGAAACATCTCATTTTTTATTCTATATGGCTAAATATATACTGCTACCATAAGAGTCAACAACTCTGTCAATACCAAACATCTCAGAAGCAACACTCAACAGCACAGGTTGCGGAATGAGAAACTGCAGTTTCGAAAAGGAACCTAAAAGGAATGTTCAACTATAAGCAGTTACAGAGTTTAGATTTAGAGGTAGATATTTATACATTGAAGGAAACTTGTGGAGAATTTGATGAGCAGGTTAGGTGAACTAATGGTCTCTACCAGTGTGTAAAATTGTTACTGTGCCACTATGTAACATTGCTAACTTGCTGATAAAACAGAATTGTAAGTACAATGCAGTCTTATTATAACAGGCTTCATTCAATCTAGTGGAAATTGGCTTATACTAAGGGCCTATAGAAAATTGAAGAAATATTTGCCTGAAAATTGCAGAGAAATTTGGGTCCCAAACACCGTATTATAACGGCTACACCGTCGATTCTAACCCTACGACTGTCTAGCAATCATCTTGTTGGTTGTCCCTTCTATAGAGATTCAAACATATTTCCCATTCAAGCAAAACTTTTTGGGGTAAAAAAATAAATTAAAACAAATGTTTAGAAGGGGATTTCTGCTTCAGGGAAGAGAGGAAAGATGCACGTCACATGCTGTTGCCTCCTTGAAGGGCAGGAGATACAGTAATATTTTTGTGACACTGTGAGGCTTTTCATGCAAATGTCACAACTAGCTCATGTACAGGCAAATAAGAAACGGTTTGAGCAACCTTTTGAGAAAAATTAAAAGTATTTCTCACAGGGTCATGCCTTGGTGTTATTATTCAATATTTGACCTGTGATAAGTAGCAAGTTTTAAAAATAAAATCAATCCACCCAGTGGCTTGATTCTTCTATTTGGCAATACATCTTTCGAATGAATTAGATAATTGACAGAAAGAACTATTAATACTCAAAAGGCTAAATATTGCTCTATCACAGGTCCAGCAGACTTACATAGCTGATAGAAATAGGCACCTGAACCTCTGAATATCTATATGCCAGCTCAGTCGGCAATGAGTGTTGTAATGTTGATTATTCTGATAATGGAAGCCACTTTTAATGTAATTTTAAAGCTTATTGAATGGAATTCACTTCTGAGTATTTCTTGTGCTTAGGCAACATGTTAATGTTGACTTGAAGCTTTGTGAATAAAATCAGTTTTTGTTTGTTTTAAATTTTAGTTATGTTTCATTTGTAGTTTGCTATCTTAAATGAGGTTGATTTCCCAGCTCAGTGCAGCTACGATGCAGTCCATTGGGGTTCTGTGAAATTTTAAGCCGTTGGTTTATGTTTGTGCTGACAAGAGTTGACATCGGAGAGGCCAGTATTGGTGAGAGAGCAAAAAAATAGCAGTGAAGAGAAACAGACTGCAGAGAAAGAGAGGAAAGAGTAGGTACAATGGTGGAAAGAATGAGCAGGTATACAAATCTTAAAACAAAGAGATAGAAATGTAGAGAAGCTATTAGATTTTTTTTAAACAATTGCAAAAAATGGGGAGAAGAAGTAAAAAGAAATGTCAGGAGAGAGAGGAAGAATTAGGGGGCTGGAAGTGAAGAGGAAAATAGAGGAATTTAGAGATTAGACATGTAGGTTGACCTCTGCAATTGGGGAGAAGTAGAGAAGGTGCATGGAAATGTTTTAAAATGGTTTGAATAATGTGACCATTGGATAGAAGGCCACAAGTCTGGTAGAGAACTAACTATTACTGATAGGGTTTTCAAAATGGTGGGATGCAGATAATAAATCTTATCAATGAGTGTAGCTGTATTTTCTGTGACTTAGCCTGACTCCAGCTTCTGACATCCTTCCAAGGTAGCGCTAACGTTTCCTCTTCATCTGTGCACAGATTGCTACTTGCGTGCATCCATAATTGTGTCGGGGACAAAGCTGGATGTGCTTCTCTGAGCCTCGGTCTCTGTGCTGTTTAATATGTAATGGGGGTGTGCACGGGGATGAGAGCTGTGCCTGTTTCAATTTGAAAATTACATCAGTCGGAGTTAATTCCATCTACTGCTGTCTGCGTAGAACTGGCTTAGGAGTTGAAATTTGACGCGCAAGAGAATAAAAATACAGTAAATGAAGGTAATTGTTACGCTTCAACTTCCCACAGTCAGTGAAAATAGAACAGCATCTTTCAATCTAACTCTATTACGGGCTCCTTGCATTAATCTTTCTAATACAATTACATCAAGAGCAGCAATTGCAACTGTCAAGCTAAAGGTATTAGAGAGAGTTGATATAAGGACAGCTTCATAAAAGAAATTATCTGATATAAAGGAAAAAGAAAAAAGCCAGAAGCTGCATTTCACTGTCTAATGGGGTTAATAAACCTTCTTTGAGCAAGTATGCAGGCTAGATGAGAGCAGAGAATAATGCTACAATGAATATGGATGTGTTAGGTGGTTGATATGGGCCAATTATGTTACTCCACTATCACCGCATCATTAAGATGGATGAAAGCTGAGCAGCTCTAAGTTTAGTTTTACCCATGAGATATCTTGAACAATTAGGCCATGCCCTGGTCGCCAAACCAACAGTTCTCTTAAAATAACACACTTTAATCATACGCAGCAAGAAAATCTGAACAAACAAGTTTCACTAGCAGACTTTATGATCCACTGCTGTAGGAGAATATATCAGATAGATTTTAAAACAGTGGAAATCAGGCATGGTGGATGGTAGCTTGTAGGACACAGCTTTCAGACTCGCCATTGCCTACAGCGGGTTTGAGGAAGCGCTCCTCGTGAAAGCAATGCCACTACAGGTGTCTTGTCATTCCCAGAAAGTGCCTCCTGATGGAAACGGCATCTCCTTCAGGGAACTCCACATGTATCACCTCAATATGTGAGTGGTGCACTTTCCCTGGTGAGTAGCTTTTTCCAGTGATGAGGAACCAGTAATGTCACCAGTAATGTCACCACTTTCCTGAATTCAACTCAACTATTTTAGTTGGGATTAGTAGGTCATGGCCTGAGCGGACGTGAGGTGCTTCTTGTGAGAACAACGTAAACTGGAATGTGTTATGTTAAGAGAGATTCCTGACTGAGAGGAGGTTTCTTATAGTTAACAAGGTTGCTCTTGGTATCTGAAATCTAAGTTATGAGGAAAGGTTAAGGAAGTTGGTTAATAATAATAAAATAATCTTTACATTTGATACAACCCCTTCCACATCGGGAGGATGGATCAAAGTGTTTCCCTGGATTTACTGTAAAGTATAGCATAGTGTAGTATTTTGTTGGTGAACATGTGTTCGCTTTGGACAAAAGGAGGTCTCGGGTGACCTAATTGAAATGTTTAAGATTGTTAAAGTTCACTCTGCTGATCAGTTCAAATACCAGATATTAGTAGGTCAGGTAGAGAAGAATAATCATCAGGGGTAGGTATTAGGCTGAAAGCTGCAAGTTGTGAAGACCGCAGAAGCAGAATTATCATTTAGGATATTTAAATGTAGATACTTGAGAAGGATATTAAGGAGTATTGACTGCAGTGGTTTTAAGAGAAGGTCGACCATCATCTTATTAGGCCAAATAGTGATACTATTACCCCCACAACCTGAGAGAAAATAAGAAAAAGGGAACATAGGAATTACTAAACAAAAAAAGACCAAGGTCTATCCAGTTTGCCTTCCACAATCCTGGTAGTCACATGCTACAAAAATGGTGATGTTGTTAGCAATTAATTCTGTATGGATTAGTCTACAACAGAGTCACTCAAAGGGTCAGACAACAAAGAGTCAGTGACATAGGGACTGACTAACTGGAAGAGA